ATTCACTAGTTCATTTTTGACTCTAGAACTAGTCCTCATCTTTGTAACTTTCTATGGACACTTCCTCCTATTAGTTGGATTCTATTACAATATATACCTATACTTAGTTTGGGTAAGATTATTAGTTTCTATTTAAAAATGTTAAGAATTTAATATATGTTGATATAAGAGTGTAAAACAAAACTAACTAGTATATCATAATTAAAAACAAACAAAGTATTACTTGTAAGTTTCAAATATAATTAAAAAAAATAATGAATACATATCTAATTAATGTGTGAATAACTTATGGTATAATAGTATTTAAGCAACTATAATTTTGTGCCACTTATTCTGCATAGCAAATTATATATATTTAATCAAGATATTAAAATATGTTATAATGATATGGTATTTTACTATTTTTATAACTTATTAACATAAGCCAAATTATACGTTGAATCTAAGAGTTGAAAAGTTAATATGATACGGAAGGGAATCATGTCTCTCTTGTGACTAATATTTTATTTTTAATTGTAAAACTTACATAATTTTAATATTATAATCTATTTTCAAAAGGTTATGAATTTAATATGGTTGATATAAGAGTGTAAAATAAAACTAAGTAGTAAATAATTCAAATTAAACAAAATATTACTTATAAATTTCAAATATAATTAAATAAGCATGCAATAATATTTAATTAAATCTGAATATTTGAGTATAGAAGATTTAACGACTATATGTTTGTATTTGTATGTATCTACATTGAACACTAACTATATTCAATTTAAATAAGGTTAAAAGTCATTGATTTATTGGTCTAATACAATTTTGATAAATTAATAATTATTATAAGTATACTTAAACACTAAAAATTAAGAAGCTAATATAATTAAAATATGAGGATATAACAAATCTAAATATAATATCTCATAGAAAAAGAATTGTCAAGAAATATTTTTATTTCATGCAAATATTTTGCTTTTATTCTATTTTGACGCCAAATTAATATATCTATTTTTTGTTTGGCATAGTTTAATTTTCTATTATTTATTTGTGATTTACTTTATTTGCATTTATTGATTTGTACTAAAGCATTTTTATTTAAGTAACAAGTGAAAGAAAGAAAAATAGTATTAGATAAAAAGTAAAACAACGACAAAGTCAACCAAAACCTAACTTCAACCTCAAATCCTCTCCCTCTAAGCCGCCACTCCCTCCCCCGCTTTCTCATTTTCTTCTTCAAACCGTTTGTCATATCGGTGCCTTCTTTCTTCCCAATTATATTCAGTATCTCTATATTTTAAGGTTTTTAAATCTTCTTATTTCTATGTGACTTAGATTCTGGGTTAACTTTTACGGGTTCCAATAATTTGATATATATTGTGTCTTATATTTTATATTACTAATATTGCGAGGGGAACTTTGAAAATTAACAAGGATGGTAATGTTGGGATGAAGATCTTTTAGAAGTTTTCTAAAAAGTTACAGGTTTGCTGTACTTGTGCCTGTTGGCTTTTGAGTATTTACAATTTTGTTATTTCGTCTAAAAAATCATTGTAAGAAGAATTAATCAAGACATTATTTTTTTCTTCGTGAAATTTTAATTAATATTTTACAAATTAAACTTGCATCTTTTATTATAGTTTTTCTGGGTTTGCTTATCCTTTTTTGTGCTAATTGTTGTTTCTTTTTGAATTTACAGGTGCATCTAAATTCTTGAATGCAAAGATTTTGAAAGCTATTTTTCCTTGAATGCAATCGGGGTGGCGACGTCTTGAATCCCCAAATTTTTTTGAATGCGGAACCCTTAGAATTTTATAGAGAAAGAAAAAATCATCTAACAATGTACATAGTTTGTATTATTTTAGTTTTGACAAGTATTTAAATTTGAGTTTCATCTATTGTTTAGGCCTCCCCAATAGCTAGTTTTTTTATTCTATAAACTTTATTATTTCTTCTCCTGTAGAAGAGTTGTATGTATATTTGAGGATGCATTGAACTGTAGATATATAATTGTATATTTAGAATTAAACCTTTTGGAATTATGATATCGTTTGTATGAAAGTAATTGAATATCGAGCTTATTATGTTTCTAATTTTCATTAAAAAAAAAATAAGGATATGCATGGATATGGAATATTTGAAAAGTTTTTAAAATAATGGGGTAAAAAAAAGGCTATAGCAATGCATTTGTGACAGAAGCATTTATTGTCACTATAAATTAATTTTTCATCACTAATTTAAAATGTAAATAGAAATTTAGTTAGAAAATAAAATATAATAAAAAAAATTTAATCATGGATATTGGTGACCATTTGTAGCTACAAAATAATGAATTTGAAGCTAAACATAAAAACTACACTACGTGGCTAATATGTGAACACAGCTACTTGTCAAAATTTTTGTGGCAAAATAAATTTCACCTTTTGCCACAATATATCCCTTTGTGGCTAAAGTACAAAGGATAGCTACAAAGTTGGTTTGTTGTAGCAAAAGAATAAATTAATTAGCTACAGATATAGATTTTTCGTGGCAAATTTTTTATCAATATAGCCACATCATAAAAATTCTTGTAGCAATATGTATTAATCTTTAGCCATGAAATATTAAAGTTTGTAGCTAACTTTTAGCTACACTACATTTTGCTACGCATGCTACGGAAAAAATTATTGTAGCTAAAGTGTTTAGCCACGGAAATTTTCATATTTAGCTACGATATACTTCGTAGCTATATATGCTTAATGTTGTAGTGGGCGCGCTCTACCACTGAGCTAATAGCCCGTCGTGCGAGCCTCCCACTGGGGGCCCGCTATGCCAAAAGCGAGAGAAACCCCATCCCTCTCTTTCCTTTTTTCGCCCCCATGTCGCCACACGGGGGGAACATGGGGACGTAAAAAAGGGGGTCCTATCAATTTGTTCCGACCTAGAATAATAAGCTCATGAGCTTGGTCTTACTTCACCGTCTAATGATCAATGATGTAGTATGAAAATCAAGAAAGACTAGACTATGGTTTAAATTTTAAAAGACGCAAAAAAAAAAAAAAACAGTTTCTCGCTCCGTTTCTTTTATGTGTTAATGAAAAGTTTAGAACTAAAGGAAGAAATGAAGATTTTTTAAACTTGTCGTCTTAAATCTGCTCTGACACTTGTTAGCAGTAAAACCATGTCATTAATGCTAAAATAAAAGTTTAGAGTTAAATTGTTTTTAAACATAGAAAGATGACTAGTCTTTTGTGGAATAAACTAAAAGGAAAAGAGCATAAAATGGAATAGCGAGAGTAGGTGATTTCTTCCCATATATGTAGGCCTTGGCTGATAGAGTTAGGAGCTACCGGTTCACCCAAATCCAATAGCTCAGGGGCATAGGCACCTTGCCCCAAACGCTGTCACGTGACACCGCTTTGTCTGTTTTTTTAATTATATATATATATATATATATATATATAAGAAAAATAAAAATATGGGGTGAAAATATAAATATGATACCGCTTATCGTTATAGTAATTTATTCATTTGTTCACCTTTTCAAATCGTTATAGTAATTTATACAAAATTTCCTGCTTATGCCACTGCAATAGCTTTAGTTGAAATCATATATATGTGCTAAAAAAACTAAATAAGCATAAATAAACATAGTAAATTAGCGGAATATGATAGAATTCCAAATCCAAACACATAAAGTTCAAATCTTTAATTCGCTTCTGCCCGTACCTTTAGTGATAGCATGGGTCCCTCTCCAGCTCACTTGCTGGTATCTTATGGTATAAGAGAGCAAGGATATTCAATGTATTCTGTTTCATTTAAACTCATGTGTTGAACCAAAGAGCTAGGGCAAATAACTGTAGAAAAGCCATGTCCCAAAAGAAAGAGTTCTTGATAATACTAATATTATTTATCTTAGTTCTTGTCCCATTTTGTACTTCAATTGATTCCATCTCCTTCAACCAGTCTCTAAAATATGGACATATGTTATTTGCTCTTGGTTTCTTTAGCCCTGGAAATTCCAACAAAACATATGTTGGAATTTGGTACAATAATGTCCCTGAACAAACTGTTGTTTGGGTTGCAAACAGAGATAATCCAATCAATAGCACATCTGGAATTTTTAGTATTAACCCCACAGGAAATCTTGAAATACTTGACAAAAAAACCAAGAATTTGGCCTGGAAAACCAATATTATTTCTTCAGCTACTATAAGAGGAAACTCCTACTCTGCTCAGCTTTTGGATTCAGGGAATTTTGTGTTGTTTCAGGACTCAAAAAAGGAAGTTGTTGTATGGCAAAGTTTTGATTATCCTACAAATACTATACTTCCTAACATGAAATTTGGGAATGACAAGAAAACCGGTCTGAACCGGTCTCTAACATCTTGGAAATCGATGGAAGACCCCGGTTCGGGGGAGTATGTGTACAAGATTGAGATCAATGGTATAATACCACAAATTTTCCTGTACAAGAATTCTAACAGGATATGGCGAACCGGACCCTGGACTGGTCTTGGCTGGAGTGGGGTACCAGAAATGAAACCTGGATATATTTTCAGTATCAACTATGTTGATAATGATAGTGAGGTCAGTGTAACATTCAGTATGCGCGACTCTGCAATCTCAAGATTAGTACTAAATGAATCAGGGGTGATGAATATATTGAACTGGCAAGAGAGCGCGCAGAAATGGGTTCAGTTTTGGTACGCGCCTAAGGACCCGTGTGATAACTATGTACATTGTGGCAAAAATAGTAATTGCAACTTGTACAATTTGGCTGAATTTGAATGTAGTTGTCTTCTTGGGTACGAGCCAAGTGATAATCGGTCATGGTACTTGAGAGACGGTTCCCATGGATGCTTAAGGAAGAAGGACGAAAACGTTTGCAAAAATGGCGAGGGGTTTGCAAAATTGACCAATGTAAAGATCCCGGATACGTACACTGCTATTTTAAACAAGAGTATGGGATTGCAAGAATGTGAGCAATTATGTCTCAATAATTGTTCGTGCACAGCTTACGCGAGTGCTAATGTTAGTGTAGGAGGAATCGGATGTATCACTTGGTATGGTGACTTAATAGATACAAGGGAGTTTACAGATGGTGGCCAAGATTTCTATATCCGAGTATCTGCATCTACTTTGGGTAAAATCTATGTTGTGTGGCTATATTTGAAAGTTGATTTATTTATGTGAACAAGTGGCTATAACACTTTTGTTTCAGCTCAATTCTTGGAGAAATCAAATGGCTATCACGGGAAAAGAACAATATCAATTGTAACAGTGTGCATTTCTGGAATACTCATAGCACTATTGATCGCTTGTTGTTTGGTAATAAGGAAAACGAGAAAAGGTAAGTATGTCATTTTTTAAGAAGTATATCATTCTTTACAAGTGTGCTTGCCTTGCCCGAGGGTCTCTGGAAACAATCTCTCTACCTGCATAAGGTAGGGGTAAGGTCTGCGTACAAACTACCTCCCAAGACCCCATATGTGAGAATATACTGAGCATGTTGTTGTTGTTGTGACGATCAATTGCGTAGAATCTAATTTGTGTTAGTGATTCTTGTACAGATAAAGAGGACCAGTTCACCAGTTTGATTACTTTGAAAAGGAATTTAGCATCATATGAGAACTCTTCAAGAGGCAATGAGATAGATGGAAGTGAACATGTTGATCTGTTAATCTATGATCTAAACACTATTATTTCAGCCACTGATGATTTCTCCGATGCTAATAAACTCGGTGAAGGAGGATTTGGCAGTGTTTACAAGGTAGATTTTATTAAATTAGTTTGTAGGCTCCGAAGGGGAGCCTTGGCGTATTTGGTAAAGTTGCTGCTATGTGACCAGGAGGTCACGGGTTCGACCTGTGGAAACAACCTCTTGCAGAACTGCAGGGTAAGGCTGCATTGGTCCAACCCTTCCCCGGACTCCGCGCATAGGGAGAGCTTAATGCACCGGACTGCCCTTTAGTTAGTAGGCTCCATTTGGTCAGGTTTTGACTATTTATCTGTTAATCTAATTTTACTTAACAACCACCTTGAATCTTGATTTCAGGGTCAGCTAAATAATGGACAAGAAATTGCTGTCAAAAGACTTTCGAAAACTTCAGGGCAAGGAGTTGAGGAATTCAAGAATGAAGTAACGTTAATCGCGAAAGTACAACACAGAAATCTTGTGAAGCTTTTAGGATGTTGCATACAAAAAGGAGAGAAGATGTTGGTATATGAATACTTGCCAAACAAAGGCTTGGACAATAATATCTTTGGTAATGACATGAAGCTTTCTTGAATAAGTAGTTGGTTAAAAACTTAGGCATGTTATAAATGGAATGAATGTGTGTACTTTCAAATTGTGTTGCAGATAAAACAAAAGGGTCTCAGTTAGATTGGAGAAAACGATTTGAAATCATCGTTGGAATTGCACGAGGATTGTCATATCTTCACCACGATTCTCGAGTAAGAATCATACATAGGGATCTAAAAGCGAGCAACATTTTACTAGATGCCTCTATGCAGCCAAAAATATCAGATTTTGGAACTGCTAGAATTTTTGGTGGTGATCAAATTGAAGCAAACACGAATAGAGTCGTTGGAACATAGTAAGCATTCACTTTTATGTATGCACATGTGTGAATTTCGCTAAGTATATGCACTAAAAATGGTGGATTGTGACATTGCTATCGGTTTGTTTCAGTGGTTACATGGCGCCAGAATATGCAATGGAAGGGCATTTTTCAGTGAAGTCTGATGTTTTCAGCTTTGGAGTTCTGTTGTTGGAGATCATCACAGGCAGGAAGAACACTACTCATTATCAAGATCAAACGTTAAATTTGGTTGGAAATGTAAGACATCTCTGCTCCAAGGATTCATCACTAGTCCTTTATCATTGCCTATTACACTAAGTTAAAAAGAAATGAATTTAACTTATATACACTAACAACAGCAAAATACATTTACACGAACAACGTATTTAAACATGTTCTAGCAGGTAACTTGTCTTATTTTCTAGGTTCACTTTTCATGGATAGTTACTTCTAGTCTATGTTGCTCGGACTCTCTTAAAATTAATATCGCAAGGTGCGTGTCAGATCCTCCAAAAGTTGCATTTTTGAAGGATCCGACACGAGCGCGACAATATTTTGGAAAGCCCATGCAACAGAGATTGTTTGTTGTGTGATCTACTGCGTAAAAATTCTCCTGTACTGTCAGTGTATAAAAGTTAAAATAAAAAGTAATACTCTTTTTGTACTATTTTATATGACACTCTTAGAATGACATCTTTCTATATTTGAATTTTACCCATAATGAGATACGTTTATAGCCACAAATATGTCATGACATGTTTAAGATCACAAGTTCAGGGTACTTTTAGTATGTGCCAAAAGTCTTTCTTAAATTATGTATCTCGTCAAATACTGCCATACAATAATACAACGGATAGCGTATCTTGTTTTGCTTTCGCCCTTTGCCATTGCCCTTGAGAAGGGATAGTTGCACGAAATATGGGCGGAGCCAGGATGACGGAAGGGTCCGAACTCTTTCGCCAAAAATCACATTATGTATATAAGGTTAAAGTTTTTTTTTTTTTTGCATATATATTAACTATTGAATCCCCTTAATATGTTCGTATAATTCGGTCATTGGCAACAAATGTTGAATCTGTACTTCCTTTTTTCAGGTTTGGGATTTCTGGAATGATGACAAAGCTATACAAGTAGTTGATCCTTTATTAGGGGACTGGTATGAAACTAGTGAAGTTTTGAGATGCATACAAATTGGACTTTTGTGTGTTCAATCATATGCAAATGATAGGCCAATTATGTCTGAAGTGGTGTTTATGCTCTGCAATGAAACAAAACTATCTAACCCTGGACAACCTGGTTTTGTATTCAGATCAAGAAATTCTTCTTCAATTCCTTATTCATCATCAGCTAGTGTTGGAACATCTGTAAATGACCATTCCATTACTGCACAACATGCTCGTTAACGCTTCCTTTAGGTAATTTACAGACGATTTTTACAGTATCAATGTAATTTTACTTGTTATAGCAGGTTACTTGTCCTAATTTCCAGGTAAACTACTTTAATTTTTGCTATGAAAAATTATTCGCAGTTATCTTTTAAATGACCTAATAGTGTAACAATTCTTTTACACTGTGATTAATTCTTAAAATTTATTTTGCAGTTCCACTTAAATGTAGGATCTTATTCTTCTCCTACTTTTCCCTCAATTCTTGTGAGTTGATGTAAACTAAGAGTACGCCAAACTGTATAGAGAACCAAATTCTCTATCAATTCCTACAGAACACACACAACAGTAAGTAAATAATACAACAATATTTACTTAAAAAACTCTCAGCTCACGGGACTAAAAACCACGACCTACACTCGTAGGATTTCATCTTCACTAACCGAGAAACTTTAGATTACAACATATTATAACCTAGGAATTAAACTCTTAATCCATCACCTACTTGCAATAACTATATTGTAAGTCTCTTTGTAATAACTCTATTACAAAGCTAACCATTTTGACTAACTCTAGTCAAACACAAATACAAGGTTTATGGTTTACAAAGGTATCCTACGAGATGCTTCTAAATAAGTTGAGTAGGAGTTACAAGTGAATAACATTAACAAAGATACAACAATACTAAAGACACATGATGTACTCAATGCTGGGATCCGGCCCTTCGTTCTGTTGCTACTTTGTTCTTCAGTGCCTTGGAGTAAATAAAGGTGGCTGCACACTTGAGAGTAAAATATATTTTAGAGTTTGCAAGTGTGTGTAATCCCTTGCCTCATGTTAGTAATATATAAGTGAGGTCACTAAGTTGATGCAAGCAAGTGTCCGGTACACAGCATGCTTCAACAGTGACTGTTGCGCTGTTGCGTCTACAGTGCAGCTGCTTTAACAACTGTAAAGAGTTAACTTGTACTGTGATCGGAGGAACTGATAGCCATTTGTTCCCTCTGCTGTTCCCTTAACTGATTTTATTGAAACTTGTGTCAGACATGTAACTTATTGTTCTGAGCACGGAGAGGCTTTGTATCAGGTTCCCTACCTGGTTCTCATATGAAGTTTCTTAAGTCATCGAAACAAAAGGCACATAACTTATCAATTTCCCCCTTTTTTGATGATGACAAACTTAGAATTGAAGTTCCCCCTGAAAACAAGATCTCTATAGTGTTTCCCCTGCAAATTAGCCATATTCCCCAGGGAACCTGTTTCTCCCCATCAATATTCTTCCCCCTTTTGGCATCATAAAAAGAATTTTACAAGTAAAAGCAAAAAGATGTCCAACAAAGTTAACTTATGTTAGTTGTGTGCACACATCATCGCTAAAAACATAACACAAGAGTATAACATGCATAGAAAAAGGACTAAGATGTTCATTAAATTTAAAGAGAAGAAAAACAAGCAGTAGTTCCAGCATTACAAAACATCCACAACATAAACACACTAGAGTACCACAGTCATAGGGACAAGATATTGTTGATACCAATTTTGCCCTCACATTTTTTCAAATAGTATATATACTTTTAAGTTATCATTTTGCATCGTACTTAGTCTACAAGAGTCATATGAGCATTTTCTATAATTTTTCATAATTCTTAGAGCTTTAAAATTAATTTTCTTGCATTTGAATTACTTGAATATTTATTAATTATCCCTTAAATAATTTTATGATGACTTAATCATCCAAAATTGTCATTTGCATCCACATATATGTTTCATAATATTTTTACTTCATTGATATGATTATATATTTATTTTTAGGCTATTTACATAATTTTACAGTAATAGCCTATACGCTATGCATAATTACATTTATTACATTATTCATACTAAAATAACATTTTTTTTATATTTTACAATGTTAAGTTATTATTTTTCAATCATTTTCTTGCACAAGTAATATTTTATTATCTATTAATTATTTTTATAAATTATTTTTAAAATAATTTTTGTGTATTTAATTATTGGCCCAATATAGAGCTAACTTTTGGACCAAAACCTTGGCCCAATTCCCTTTAGCCCAGCATCAACATCCCAAACCAAATAACCCCTTTAATTAACCCAGTCGGTACCCGTTTTAAATGACCCGCCCCACTTTTTCCTTCTATCTCAACCTTTGATCTTAGAGATCAACGACCCGTATGCCATCACCCATCTTTAAACTACCCAACCCAAAACCCTAACACCCATTTCCTTGAGACTGCCGCCCTAAAATCCTCTCTACTCTACTCTCCTTTTCTCCTCTCAAACCCTAACAACCGCCTCCTCAATCTTCCCCAATTCTAGTTCTAATATGGAATCTCCCCATGATTTTCCTTCCATATATGTTCGATCTCTCCGTTATTTACATGGTCTTGGTATCACATAATACTTGCCTATATTTGGCAAGTACGGTCCTAAATCAAGAAACTATCTCTAGACATTCGAGATTTAGACGATATTTTGTCAACATACACCAACTACCAGGCCCTATGGGTCCGATTCAGTGAGATTTCTACTATTTTTGTTTTTCAATAGGGTTTGTCGGATTTTCCTAAATTGATTCTAATTGATTTTGCATGATATATTTTTCATATCTGTGTTTAATCGACTATCTTTCCTTGTTTGGGTACTTCGATTTTGATGCTATATAAACCCTTCCCCAATTTCTCCTTTGGACAGACTCTAATCGCAAAAAAGCTACTATTGTTCTCTTATTCTTTCTTGTATTATACTATTTTGAGGCTCCATCTTTTGGCCAAATGAAAGCCAAGGCCACCGAAATCCAATTCTCGGACCTGAAAAAACAAAAGAAAAACAAAAGGAACAGAAAAAATACAAACGAACAGATAATGAGCAAATTAATATTCGGGTGGGGACCAACTGCAAAAGCAAAAGAAACAGAAGATATTATTATCAAGATGAATTACATTCAGAAAATCAGTATTTAGAAGAACAAGAATGGGATGAACATGACTAGCGAGAAGAACAGAATAATAAAAAACAAATTACGTAACAACTCTTGTTCCCCACCTTTTAGCGTTCTGGGGCCCTACTATGTATTCAAATTAGAGTACCCTTTCTTCCACATCCGAAGGATGGAGGGGGTATACAGCGAAAAAAGCGTCGAAGGGGTCGGATCACCTGGGTTATTGAAGAGTCGTCCGACTTCTCGGTGACCGAATAAGAGAGGTTTTTACCGCTTTCTCTTCTCTCTAGCACTCTCGGACTGATCATCTTGCTTCAACAAAGCAAGCTTAGGAATGAATCTAATGGAAATTTAGGTCTCTGTCCGCTTGGAAGATTATTCTTTCCTCCTCGGTGAAAGAGGGCAAAAAAGGTGTGTGGGAGAAAGAATTCTAAAAGGAGAGAAGATTTCGTCCACCAAGCGGGACAGAGTGCGACCCCTAAGTAATTGGGGGTTCTCGCTCATCTCTTTGGGGTCCATCTCATCTGAAAACTTTTCCTCTTCCATTAGCATAGCTAAATTTGAATAGGATGAATCAGCCTCAGGAAAAGTAAGCCCCCTTGCCTTGATTGAATTTGGCTTCGTTGCGCCCTGAATCAATCAAAAAGTTTATTGATTTGATTCATCCCATTTTATTTATTTGGGCGAGAGGGAGGCTGTGGTTCACCTGGGCTACGGATTTTTCCGTTGGTTGATTCTCGAAATCACCTCTTGAAAAAAAAGGCCCTCGGGTCCAGACCCACAAATGAATAGGAAGTGAGGCGAGGGTCCTTCATTAAAGGGGGGAAATCATACAAAAGATAAATGAGTGCAACCAATGGTTGGAAGTATACAATCACACAGAAATAATAGAAAGAATACTTTATGGATCACACAGCAACATAAAAAGGGTCTTCCACGACCTTAAGATTTTAAAAGAAAGCAAAGATGGGGCTCTACAAAGGATACAGAGATATCTAGACGAAAGAGAAGTAGAGAAAAGGGGAATTAAGCAGTATGAACCAGAAGAAATCAAAGAAAAGTACCCGCTAATAGACTGGATTGCCTGTAACCTCATTTATCAAAGACCTTTAAAAACAAAATAACTACTCTTATATGGACCACCGTCAACCCAGAAGACCTTGATCTTTGATAAGCTAAGAAAGGCCCTAAGAATATACTTCGTAGGGGTAAGAATGAACGACTTAGCGGGGGATGATGACCACTATGATTTATGGGTTTTTGACGAGTTCCAAAACCACGAGCGGGAAAACGGCATGGGAGAAACCATATATTCGGAGAACGCAAACGTTTTCAACAATACAATGCTTAGGGTACTAGATGGACAGGAGTGTAGGCTCGACGCCAAGTACGGAGAGGTTCTTAACAAAACAAGAAACGTGCCTATTGTTTTAATAGCTAATCAAATACCAAACAAGATGAGAAGCTATGGACCCATGCAGGAAAGAGTAATGAGGCGAGCACTGCCCGGGGTTCATTCGAAACCCTTGGGGAACTCTGACGCACTGAGATTCCTGGGTTCTACTGTTCGTTTCGCTATTAACACTGAAGTGTTGCTGAAATTACTCCTCTTGCTTACTTGTACTTTTGTAATTGGTAATGTATCTATGACTCTCGAAATTTCATTATTTTCCATTTGTATTCATGCTCTGCACATCTGTGTCTCTGAGAATTTGTATGAATAAACATGCCATTATATGTTTTGAAGCTCTTCTTGAGGCTCTATGCCTTCTAGTAGTTAAACTTGCCCATTTGTTACTTTGATTCTATCTTCTTAAGACTGCCTGCTAATGTATATGCTTGATTGCTTATTAATGTTGCTCATTCTGAGTTTGGTTTCTTGCCTTGTCCTGTACTATTACGAATAACCAACTCATACCTAGAATGCGTGCTAATCCCTATTGAGAAATTTATGCCCAACATGTTATCTTTCTAGAGTTCTACTGTTAAGCTATGACTTGTTCCCATGCTATTTGCAACTCTAGTGTGTTTTTGACTTGATCAATCCTGTGTCCCTCAAGTATTAGTTGAGACCTTTAGAGCATTCTCTCCTATATGTGGCCAACTAGTATAAGGTTTGATGCTTGTCTGTCCTATTGATGTGAAGTGACATATTTTTGCTTAATGTAAGCTTTCTGGTATTGTAACTGATACTCAG